TGGGAGGCTCGTTTTGGATCAGAATTAGATTGGGAAAAGCTGTGGCGGGACCAGGTGTTCCCACGACCTCCACGACAACGATGGGGCTTCTGGGGTTTGGCCCTCCCCGGGTTGTGTGCTTTTGCAGTAGTGCGGCTACGAGCGCATTGAGAAGTATAAACGCCAGGAGTACAAAGCAAGGCTCGATTGGGGATGACGATTTTGTCTGGTCGTCCGGCACAGAACGCGCCATGTTTTTATGCTGCAACATTCCATGCCTGACAAGAACAAGCCTTGCCGTTGGGTGTGCGGTGTTGGACTTGAATTCGTCCTTTGGGCTTGGCTGACAAGACGCGCGCACCACATCGTGGACAAGTGTGCTCGTGTTGGCGACCAGCAACTGCACCGTCCAAGACACGAAATTTGTGGCCGCACTTTCCTCGATGGTGGACTCGGCCAGTTTGGACCCCACTGCGGCATGGACATTTGCAGCGTGGGCAGACGTAGTCATACAGCCTTGTCGGCTCCCCTCTGACCTGATTCCCTGGCTTCGCCTCGGGCACCTCCGGATTGAATGCGTGGCCATGCGTTGGCGCGTGTGGCTGCGCGCTTGACGTGGTTTGTTTTCCTTGTTTGGATTCTGGTTTGGGGTGAGTCTCTGTCGTGGCTTGGCGTTTTGTTTGACGACGACTGTGCGGGACTGTGCTCGGCAGTGGCTCGATGGACGATGCGTGTGGTGCCACGACACTTGTGCTTTGTTTGGGGCGCTTTGCGGCGTTGGCTTCCTGTGCGCCGGAGTCCGTCGGAGCCAGACGTTTGCGTTCGTGGACGTGACTGGCGATGAGGTCTTTGATTTCTTGCAGGATGTGTTCTCGGTGGATTCGTTGGCGCAGCGACGCTACACGCGCGTGGGTCTTGGCGGCGACGCGTTTGCGTTGGACGGTCTGGATGCGTGTAGTGTGACACGCATCGCACACTTGTTTCCCGTTTTCTCCGGAAGAGCATCGGCGGAGAAAGATGGTGTACTGGTCTCGTTAACCACCTTTTTGTTAAGCGCAGGAACTGATGCTGATACAAAAAAGAATAACCACCTTTTTGTTAAGCTGATACTGATATTCCTGATGCTGCTTGGGTGTCCGCGACAAACATCATGACAATCAGCACCTTGTTTGTCACAGCGCTCCCTTGTGAAAGAAGCCTTTTATTGGCCTATAGTTGCCACCTTTTGCTGTACACTGTAGACTGTACACCGTCAAAAAGACGTGCATCATGTGGTCGATGAGGGTCCATGTAGACGCGCTCCCCGTGGTGAAGATCGACGCATGACATGGTCAAGATGCGTGAAGAGCGATGGATGTGGGGAGGGATCAAACAAACGCGTGTGTATCTCCCGGATCAAAGGCTTATAAAAACAAACAGCCTACAGCCGTGCCATGTCGCAATGAGCAAAGAGGCCATTATGGCTACCTACGCAAAAAAAGCAGGAAGACCTACCAAAGAACTCGGGAAAAGGACGAATAGACTAACACTCGCTGGTTGCGGGCTCTCCCAAATCTATGTCCCTTTTCGATGCAAGGCCAAGGCACTTCCTCTCGGAAGAAGCCATTCAAAGTCGCCACACAGGCCATGGCGAAAGCTGTAAAATAGCCGACCCAGTTGCGCACTGGTCTTCTCCAAGTGGCCCATGTGCAGAATGTTGCTTACCGGTCCTCTCTTCATCCGCTTCATCGCTTCAATTTGTTGGGGTGCTGTATGTTTTTCTGTCCTTTCTCCACGAGCCACCGAGTCGTTTCAGTAACTGGGGAAGTCTCCTGGTCACTCCAGTGAGGTTCTACATTCTTGTTAAACTTTATATCCCATGGCCATATGGGCTTGGCAAATCTCGGCAATGAATGCTGCATCCGAAATTAGACATCACTAAAACCCATTGGATGAGGATCCAACTGGGCAGCACCAATGCGCAAAGAACTATACATGCTGGTACATACAATGCACACCAGCTCGCAAAGTCGCAGACATGGGCCCACCAGACTGGAGTTCTTGGAACCGGGCGGTGGAAAGAGCCGGTGTGGAGGTTGAGGATGCGAACGTGCCTCTTAACTCTTTGAATCTAGGTCCCAAACGTCCAAGAGGGGCGCCGTCTTTGAGGCGTGAAACAAGTGAAGCCGCCTGAAGGCATTGCTTCTGGACATGATCCACCACTTGGACTGGACTAGGATTCCCATGATTCGCCAAACTGGATTGGAGTCATATCATATATGCTTGGTTTATTCTTATATGGCCTATATGGGCTCCTATCTACACAAACACACCTGCAACATCCTGAACCTAAAGATTCGTGCAGGAGTGTATGTATAAGTAGTGGTTGAATGTTTTTGATAGTGCCCTCAATCTGCAAATCCGTGCAAATCTATCCGTTTGCCACTGGTCTGGCTGCCACTCCTGCATGTTGCATCATGTTGCTACATGCACTTGCACTGTGACCGAAGCCTGCAATTCTCAAGTCTGAGATGTCGCAGCCTTTTTTGGACTGGCGCAGCGTCTGGGCCAAAGTTGCAGAACAGCTCCATAACCACTCCTGCTGTCCCTGAAACAATCCTGGAAGTGGGTGGCATGGCCAACATGGATTTAGAGGACCATCGTCTACAAACAGGTTCACTTCCATGGTGCATGAAGGAAAGTCACCTGAACCATAGCTTTTTGGCGAGTGCAAGCTGCAGTACTCCTCCTCCTTGATGAGTCCCGGGGTCGGCGGCAGGGGCGGCAGCCCTTAAATAACATTGGTGCAAAACACTTCTTGCGAGCAAAAACACTAAACTCAAGCAACTTAACATCATCTTCGGATCATCCATGATCATCCGAACGCCGCGGCTACTTCTTGAAACAAAAAACGGCATTTGGTGCGGTCTCTCCCTCTCTCTCTCTCTCTGATGGCACCTCGAGGCTCAGTGGTTGATAAATCCCTTGATTGATCAACCTGGAGGCTCGGCGCTTTCGCGAAGCACGTGACGTCGTCCAACGATTTCTTTTAGAAATGACGGTTTCTTGCACGGTGCAAACAACAGGGGGTGGCAGAAGATTTATACAATATGTAGATAGACCATATAGACTATGTCGCTATCTTATGCTATCTCTATATATATAGATCAACAACAATCAACAAACTCAGTACCTCATGTCTGCATCCTGACCGGAGTACAGCACGGGTGTTTTGTGCTCAATTAGCTGCTCAGCTGCCTGTCACATTCCTTTGAACAACTGGCTGGATCCCAACTTTCAAGACTAACAACATCGATGGCTCCAACACTGTCACAACCTTTTCCTTGCCAAGAACCCTCAGTGTGATCGAAAGAGAATCTCGTCGAGGCCACGCCGAAGTTCTCGCCTTCCCCCTGCTTTCTCTCTTCCATGTGAAAAAGGTAACAGCCGATCTGTCCACCTTTTTCCAGTAAGAAACCCCCCAACCTTCCTCATCTGAACCCACCTCGCCCGGGATCCGCGTGTCGCCCGACGTGATCGGATCGTCCGGGATCCGTTTTGTCCGTTCATTCCCGTTCCACGGACGCTCGGGACGCTCGGACGCCTTAAACCCTCCAGCTCCTCGGTGACCGTGACCTCCAAGATCTCCACACCTCGGAACCGCGGCCACCGATCTGCGCGGAGGAGAGGTGGATGTTGATGCCCCCGTGGTTGGTGTTCTCACACGGTTTTTTGGGGCGCGGGCAGCTGGGAATGTGTCATAATTAGAAACCTCATCCATTATGATTCTTGATATTTCTTACTTACTGGGCTCTCTAATATCCATGCCTCATCCATCCTCATCCTAGTCAGTTGCAGAATCTCTGCTGACACTGAGTCTGACATTAAATCATTCACCGAGAACACCGAGAAGGTCATTCCTCTCGCACCGGAGCTCGAGGTCGATCGGTGCCCGGCTGATGGTCAGTGCATCCTCCTCGATCTGCGCCTGATGATTGACCAAGCACCAAGCAGTTGGCCGATCGATGACATGCCGATCCTGTCGACGTTTCACAACGAAGGACCAGGCGAAGACCTCCATGCTTTGGTGTCAAAGAGGTCTCCGCTTGGTCCTGCAGTCTCACTTCATGCATTTTTGGGTCGACTAATGATGAGTCATCACAAAAAGGGGGGGGGTCCGGCCCTCTCGCCCACGGGTTCCGCTGGTGGAGCGCCAACGGGTTGCGCATACAACATGGAAGGCAAAGGAAAAGGACCTAAAATCTTCAAGACTCAAGAACTGGCAAAACACCAGGGGCTTGCTCCCTGCATCGAGTCCCCTCTATCCTCGCGGTCCCTGTCACAGTGCGTCGCACTAAATGTATGTTTACACTTTTTGCCGATGCGCATCTGGGTTTGGACGTTGGAAACGACCACGTTGCAAAGCCTTTGACTTTGACAAGAGATCCATTGACCCTCGGTCAAACTGACAAGTCCTTCATGTGGCCAAGGCGCTTCAAAGAAGCTTTTGTCGAGAGGGTCGATGGATATTTCAAGTCACAACGTATTGCAGCAGTTGTTGCTGACCTTCCCACCGTTCACAGCAGTTCACACGGCTGGCCGCCATGAGAAACAGAGAATTGTGTGTCGGAACCGACATGGATTCGTCCACCGGGGATGGTTTTCGGCGATGGTGTTCGATTCTGGACTGAGGGTTTGTCAAAGTCCTCCTGCCCCTCATATATTATATATCTAGGACTTGTTTTGGGGGACATCGAAGTCCGAAAGCAATTGCCAACTCTGCCTGCATCCTCGAATTGATCACCTAAAACACCAAGCAGCTCCATAGCTCAAGGCTTCTCTTCCCGAAAACTCCCACGACCAACACGTAACTCGCTTACATCGCATCGCTTCTCCCCGATGGATCCACTCCACGCGACACTCCACGCGAGCGTCGCGTGGCCCGATGGATCAAACTCCGCCATCTTTCAGTTTCATAATCTCCTCCAAGTCGATCGTCGAACATTCCGACCTCATGCGCCGGCCGTGTCAGACAGCCGGCCGAGTAGGGGTCTATCTATATAGGGTTATATTATAGGGTTATGGCTTATATACGAGGTTCTTGTATATTGGATGCTGGGGCCACCATGAAAAACCACCAGAAGCATCCTCCAAACTCGCTTACGCCTCAGCAAAAACATTGAAAAAACAACTCGGTCGAGTTGCTCACGATATCGCTGGTCAACGAGTTTGAAACGTCGTCTACCTGAAACGGGTTCACTCAGCACCGCCCGACAGCACCAACACCACCCGATGTCCGTCCGAGACCGAACATGTTCGTCCGGGGCTTTGGTGCCATCACCGGCACCAGAAAAAAAGAAACGGACCAGTTCGCCATGTTGACCAGCTCTTCCATAAAAACTGGACCAGTTTCGCCTGTACTTGGCAAGGACACTTATAAAAGAGAAGAATTCGCCCGTCCTTCGTGCCGGGAACGACTCCCACGACTCCCACCTTCACCTTCGGAACACTACCGGTACCCAGCGACGCGAAGGGATTGTCGTCTTTCAAGAAGAGCATGCAATGGCATTCGTGACGCTCACGCATTGGGACCTGCCGCACTGGCCGTGCGTACGCCCACCCGCGCCCCACGCCCCACGTGCGGGATCTGTTCTTTTTGGATGGGGTTTCCTCTGGCAAACAAACGGCTCCAAAAAGGCATATAGGGCTCAAGAGGTTGCCTCCGATGTTCTGCTAAATACAGTCTGTATGGATCATATAATATATGGTGTTTGTTTGTTATACAGTTATACATTCAATCATATTCTTTCGCATCTTGTTTTTGCGTATACGGATATGTCTGTAGGTCGGCCTCTCTTCATGTTACACGTAGAAACAATTGTGCTGCTGGTGGACGTCTTGCTGGACAGGAAAGAAGACGGAGTCTGACAAACAGCAATGGTCTTTTTCCAGATCTCTTATGATAATATGTATCTTGCAGTGAAAAGTGGCACCTGCTGTTTAGCCGTTGCTTCAAATCATTGTAAATCATCAAGCACTTGATCTTCTTGAATAGAAAGCCAGAAAGGACGAAGTGACGGATGTAAACTCCCAACATGTTTTTCGACTCGGTGCACCCTAAAACGAGCATCCAACAAAGACCCGTCTTCATCTGCTTCAAAGGTCGTGTGGAATCAGTCGGCTGTCGGTGACTCAGTTTGGCACACATGGACAGTTCCAATAGCCATTCTTCACCTGGCGTCCGTTGAAAACACCGGGCTCGGCGGCGGCCAGGAGGAACCACGGCGGCCGGCGCGGCCCGATGCCACGCAGGGTCGGACTGCTCTAGTCCACCCATATGTCCAGACTAGATCTTTTAATAGGGAAAACATCAATTCCAATGGCTGAACTGGTCCAATTGTCCTGGAAAGAGGGTGAAACCGCCACGGGAAGGTCGCAGGGTCCGGGTCCTTGCTGAAGTGGAAGTCCCTGCTCCTGCTGAAGTGTCCATTTCGTCACAAAGTCCATCTCTGGCCTCGAGCTCCTTGTTTTCATAGTGCCGGCAGGGGCACAACGGCGCACCCAGAGTCTCCTGTCACCGAGATGCATCAAGAGACATATGACAAGAGACATCAAAACATATGGCATGGTGATCACCAAAATATCCAACAAATGTTAAACAATGTTAAACACATGGCACGTGAAACAAAACTGCCATTTTGCATTTGGCAGGCGTCTGGTTTAATTCTTTGAAACGCATGTGTTCGTTGAAATGTTCACGGCTCCTTGTGAAGTGCCAGGCCAACAATTACCACTGCTGGCACCGACTTATCTTCACAGTACTTCGTCTTGGTGACCTGGAACAATCAACACTCTTGGTGTAGCCCATGGATCTTTGCTAAGTTGATGGACGATACCTCATGATGTGGGGGTGGCACAATGCATCTCAGACAAACATAAGCAATCATATTTAAAACTCATTGGATGGTTTTTTAACCATACAGTGGAGACAGTGTTTACTCCGTTTACTCCATGTCAGTCACACTCGCTATTTTCTGGAAAAACATCCCAAGAAAATCCTGATCCCTGAGACCTGAGATGAATGCATGACATGCCGTCAGCTGCGCCCAATGCATGTGCTTCCTATCACAACATCTCAAAACGGTTGTGGATGTGGCTCTTGCCCTCGCTGGCGTCTCCACCTCCACCCATTCACAGCCAAGATTTTTATAAGTCTTGGAGCCCCCCCACGCCGTCTCTCACAAGAACTTTGCAATTCAAAATCAACCTGAGGAGCCCATGCGTGCTTAAGAAAAACGACTTGCTCGCTTGCCAGAATGCATCTGTATCTACAACCGACGCGTTGAAAGTTCTCGTGGTTTCCTCTCCATCAGCTTGGAGCACGGCACCAATTACTAATACACGTTCAGTGTAGAATGTGGCGTTTCTTGTAGGGCAGTCGGCCTTGGCCTCCATGACTTGTTCTCCTTCTCGTGCCTCCACAAATGCCTGGTGGGTGACCTAAAAAAGGACAAAGCCAAATAAACCAACCTCCAAAACACGAAGCGATCCCTTTTAATCCTTTTTTCGACCCACATCGACCCAAGGAGTCCCGCCGGATAGAGGTACAGATCCCAAAGACATGTTCTGACATTGGGGGATGTGAGTTCAAACCCTTATAACCTCCATGTACACCTGGCCTTTTTGCATGACATGTAATTATTAAGACATATATGTTTGTTCGCCCAATCTACCTTGGTTGAAGTGCCTCCTGGGTGACTTTTTCACTACCTGGATCCTCCAAAGTAGCTTTGATAGTGGGACATGACCTTCCTACTTGCACCTGTTTTCGGAGGTGCTTCGAGACTCCAGGTGTGCATCACTTGGTTGATGACAGACATTGATTTCTGCTCAACCAACTTGGTCGGTATGTTAGCTTTTTGCTCAAGACATCTTCACAGTACTTCGCCTTGGTGACCTGGAAGAATCAAAAGTCTCGGTGTTGCCCAAGCATCCTTGCTAAGTAGATCCGATGCAAGATCTACAGTAGTTTCTTGGATAAATATGGTTGGTTTGATCTGCGGGGTGGCACAGTGCGTCTCAGACATACTCAAGACGCACTTAAGGCCTGAAAGCATGCAGTGGAAACAGTGTGTACTCCGTGTATTCCATGTCACTCCCTATTGTCTGCCTGGGACCTGAGATGAGTGCATGACACCCCCGTCAGCTGCGCTTGGTGCGCGGCTCAAAGTGTGGCTCCGTGGAATGTGCTCTCGCGGGAATTCAGCCCGCTTGCCAGAATGCATCAACTGTATCTACGAGCGAAGCGCTGGAAGTTCCATGTTCAGGCCGCTCCGAGCAGCTCCACGACTGCTCCGCAGCACGACCGGTTCCATGTCATGTAGGCACAAAAGTCGTGGCTTCCTCTCCATCAGCTGGAGCACGGCACCAAGTACAAATACACGTTCAGTTGGACCGAGGCACCGAGCCTGTGCACGACGAACCCCAGAAAGGACAACCAAGCCTTGGAGGCCTGAGGATCCATGAACTGTTCTCCTTCTCCTTCTCGTGGTTCCACAAAAAACGCCGTTTGTGGGTGACTTGAAAATGGGACAAAGCCAAATAAACCAACCTCCAAATACACGAAATGCAAACAAGATGGAACCCACGAACCCGAATGCAAACACGTTCCATATGCCCAAATGGCAAAATGAACTCTTGTAGGACACTCTTGTGGGACACTCTTCTGGGACACTCTTGTGGGACACTCTTGTGGGACACTCTTGTAGGACACTCTTGTGGGTCACTCTTGTAGGACACTCTTGTGGAGCACTCTTACAGGACACTCTTGCGGGTCACTCTTGTAGGACGCTCTTGTGGGTCACTCTTACACGACACTCTTGTAGGACACTTCTTGTGGGACACTCTTATAGGACACTCTTGTGGGTCACTCTTATGGGACACTCTTGTCGGACACTCTTGTGGGACACTCTTGTGAGACACTCTTGCAGGACACTCTTGTGGGTCACTCTTACAGGGCACTCTTGTGGGACACTCTTCTTGGACACTCTTGTGGGACACTCTTGTAGGACACTCTTGTGGGACACTCTTGTGGGACACTCTCGTGGGAAACTCTTGTGGCTCACTCTCCTACAAAACTCTTGTGGAACACTCTTACAGGACACTCTTGTGGGACACTCTTAAGGGACAGTCTTGTGAGACACTCTTGTGGGAGCCGGTTGCGGGACACTCTTCTGGGACACTCTTGTGGGGCACTTGGGATACTCTTGTAGGACACTCTTAAGGGACACTCTTGTGAGACACTCTTGTGGGACACTGTTGCGGGACACTCTTGTGGGACACTCTTGTGGGACACTCTTGTGGGACACTCTTGT